CCACCAATGACGTGTATTCAGAAGCTATGCACGTGCTATTGACGTCCACATTCAAACTTGATTGATCGCCAATGTCCTGAAACTGTAACGCGCCGCTCCAAGGTGGGCGCCATCGTGTAGGCCTGGCTCACCACTTGATCATTAGAATGTTGACAGCAGATTCAAGCGGAAGATAGCGTATTTACATACACTGAAGTTACAAGAGCAATGAGTAGATGCATGAGTGCCACTGTTTGCGATACCAAGCCATATCACTCAGGGTCTCTGAACAACGGACAAAACCATGATCTCTGGGTCCCCAGCCAGGGAGTCTAACGGAACCTATGTGACCCATTCTCTTGGTTAGCGTTTTCATACTCTCATGCCAGGTCTTAGCTTGACCGCCCTTGACCTTTGTCCAACCGCTACCTGCCTCGACAAATATCGCTCGCCGTGGCAACCTATCTGTTACTGCATTGAGAATTTCACCTCGATTGAAGATGAAACGTTTGCAATACAATTGCCAAGCTCGGCGAACAACTAAACATCAAGTTATGATACCCGAGCTACAAAAACAACAATCAACACCGCTGTTTACAAAACTGTCATATATATATATATATATATACCACCAATCTTTACTGATACGGCACCAAAATAACCATGGGTGAACTAAAAAAGATTGGTAAAAAACGGGCAGAATTAAACGGTCAACTTCGAGGAGTAACATTTTTTTGTTATTCGAAATATTTCGGTTTGATATTTTGTACACGTGATTGCCCTGGTCGTAGCTAGAATACAATTCATTCACATGCACAGTCTCTTTTGCTTTGGTAACGCGTACACCTACCTCAGACCGCGGAATTAGTGGCCGGATGCACGGGAAGCGTTGCACGGTATCTGGGTGGGCTATATGCCACTCTCATGCAGCACTAGGTAGTTGGATTTCAATCATTCAGATAAGGGCGGTGCAAAATGACCGCCTAACTATTCTAATCACACATATGATACTCTCTTCGAATATACCAAAGCGGTGCGTCTGTTTACTTATCGTTTGGGCGAAGTCTCCAATGTGTGTTGACAAAGCAAGGATAGTAAATCCTCGATTATTTGCGATCATCCGTAGACCGTTCTAGTTGCACTTTGGACAACACACAAGAGTTTGGATTTGATACGCGTAAGACTGAATTCGTTATCCGTTACCAGAACAAAACGTCTTAGATGTTGATTCTAGACTGTCAACTGGATTGAAAATGAAAGATTTCATTTAGTTAACCCTTTCACAACGATGTGGAGAGCAGCAAATAATCCTGGATGAATGACTTATCGGGTTAAATTGTAATGAGAAGGCGAGCTGGCAGGGAAAACGTCTATTGATCCAATTCAAAATCAAATAGTGTATGTGTTCGATTATATACATTCAATTCTCAACCGCGCGGCGGGATGATTCATGCCCTCT